ATTTGAAATAGCTCAACTGGAATTCCATCACCTCCACTAGCTTTGTTCATAGTGATGCTTCCTAAGGCCCACTTGACTTCAGACTCCAGGATGTCTGGCTCTAGGTGAGTGATCACACTATCACAGTTATCTGGGTCATGAAGATCTTTTTTGTATAGTTCTTCTGTTTATTCTTGCCACCTCTTCTTAATATCTTCTGCTTCTGTTAGGTCCATACCGCTTCTGTCCTTTATTGTGCCCATCTTTGGATGAAATGTTCCCTTGGTATCTCTAATTTTCTTGAAGAGATCTCTAGTCTTTCCCATTCTATTGTTTTCCTCTATTTCTTTGCATTGCTCACTGAGGAAAGCTTTCTTATCTCTCCTTGCTATTCTTTGGAACTCTGCATTCAAATGGGTATATCTTTCCTTTTCTCCTTTGAGTCACTGGCATGAACTCTTTATTGCCAAATTCAGACTTAAACTGAAGAAAGTAGGGACCTAAATCAAATTCCTTACAATTTTGATTAGACCAATCAGTTAAGACCTAAATCAAATCCCTTACGATTATACAGTGGAAGTAACAAATAAATTCAAGGGATTAGATCTGATAGACTGAGTGCCTGAAGAACTATGGAAGGAGGTTGTTTTGTTTATGCATATACAACAGACATCGGCCACATCTGGACATACAGATCAAACTAATACAGATCTCTGGCGAAAGCAGATACATGGACGTTACAATGGCTAGTATTGCGTTAACTTTGGTTTGTAACTCCACTTTTTGTTTTCTGTGTAACTTAAGAAACTGATGCATAAAAACAACAATGAGTCTATGGTTCTGGGCACACAGTAGATTAAGAGGTCTTGTGACATCAATAATTAAAAGGGATTGGGGACAGGGCTGCATAAGGGCTGTTTTTCTATATTGTTGAAGATAAGCTGATACAAATTCAAATTAGAATGTTAAGGATGTTAAAATGCAATTCCCATGGTAACCACAAAGAAAATAGCTATTGAATATACCCAAGAGGAAATGAGAAAGGAATTAAATGTTTCATGTGAGGCAACTAGAGTAGCCCAACTCAGAGAGTGGAATGGTAGTTGCTAGAGGCTAGGGTGGGGCCGTTAGTGTTTCGTGGGTTCAGAATTTCAGTTCTGCAAGTTGAAGAAAGTTCTGGAGATGATGGTGGTGATGGCACAACAGTGTGAATGTATTTAATGCCACCGAACTGCACACTTAAAAATGGTTAAAATGGTAAACTTCACATATTTTCCCACATTTAAAGAAAATAACTGATTTTAAAAGGTGTTGGAAAGGCTGTGGACAAATTGGAACTCTCATATGTTGCTGGTGAAATGTAACATGGTGCAGCCACTGTGGAAAATAGTTTGGTGCTTCCTGAAAAAGCTAAACATACAGTCATAAGACTCAGCAAATCCACTCCTAAGTGGATATACTAATCAAAAGAACTGAAAACTGGTTCATACAAAAATTTGTATGTGAATGTTCCTGGCAGCATTATTCATAATAGCCAAAACATAAAAACAATCCAAAAAAAAAAAAAAAACAATCCAAATGTCCATCAGCTGATGAACAGATAAGCAAAGAGTAGTCCATCCATACAATGGAATATTGTTCCGCCATAACAAGGAACAAAGTACTGATGCACACCACAACCTGGATGAACCTTACCAATACTGTTGTAAGTGAAAGAAGCCAGACACAAAAGGTCACACAGTGATTCCATTTACAAGAAATGCCCAGAACGGCCCAATCAATAGAGACAGAAAGTAGATTATTAGCTGTCAGATGCTTGGGGGAAAAGGGAATGGGAAGCGACTGTTAATGGATGGAACATTTCTTTATTCCAGGTGACGAGAATGTTCTGGAATCAGATGGTGGTGATGGTTGCACAACCTTGTGAATATACCAAAACCCAATGAATTGTATACTTTATAAAAGGGTGAATTTTATATGAATTATATCTTAATAAAAATGTAACACAGAAACCAACACAACATTGTAAAAATTAAAAATCAATGTAATTAACAAAAGTCTGTTTGTCATACTCACAAACTTTACTGCACTCAACATAGTCTAAGCTCTTGGCCTTGCAAAATTTCTGCAGTTCAAAGTTGTAGTACAGGTTGGATAAAGCCATTCCCAGGCAATGGCCTGGAAGTAATAGGAACATGTCATCCAGGGAGTCTGAGATTGTTCTGTAGCCAAGTTCTGTGAGGGGAACAGAAAATATTAACCCTTCTTTCAGGAAGAAGTGGGTACATCCTCCAGCGACTCTCTAGGCCCACTGGGCCTCTTCTCCTGTATAAAGGGTTTGTTCTTTCTATCTGTTGCTTTATCTGTCTCCGCTTGTCACACTCCCAGGCCCAAGATTAGAAATCAGGTTCTCCCTGACTCCCAGTGTTCCCTCTCATGAGGCAGTCACCTAGCCTCTAAGCTGTAACTATTTTTCTTTTGCAGTGCTTCCTGAAGTCATTTTACTTCTATTCCAACTGTTCATGCAGACAAGTCAGAAAGCTTGGTGTGTTTGAGAAAACCAGCATGGGCATGGCTGCAGTAGGGGATGCACTTGTGGAAGTCGTGGCTTTGAAGGCTGGAGGCTTACAAATGAGTTAGGGCCAGACGGGAAAGCCTGGGGGACCAGCTTTGGATTTATTAGAGTGTCATCTTACAAGTAGATAAGAACACAGCTCCTGTGTGGACAGTTTGTGGAGACAAAACCACCATTATTTGCAGATGCTGTACATTATCACATACCTAGAAAAGCCACAAGAATCAACCAAAATGGTCCTGTGGTTAGAACTCTGTGCTTCCAATGCAAGGGGCATGGGTTCAATCCCTGGTCAGGGAACTAAGATCTCACAAGCTTTATGGTAAAAAGAAAGAAGAAAAGAGAACAGACTCAAGGACATGGAGAAGACACTTGTGGTTGCCAAAGGGCAGGGGGTTGTGGGAGGGATGGGGTAGGAAGTTGGGGCTGGCAGATGCAAACTATTACATACAGGATGGATAAGCAGCAAGGCCCTATTGTACACAACAGGGACCTATAGCCAATATTGTATGATAAACCATAATGGAAAAGAATGTATATATGTGTAAATCACTGAATCACTTTGTTGTACAGCAAAAATTAACATACTGTGAAACAACTATACTTCAATTAGAAAAAAGAAATAAAGGAGAGGTCAGTAAGTTGTCTGGTTCTAAAACAAATACAGAAACTGGGGCCTCTTAAGAGATTAGAGAAGCCAATTTTTTATGCTATATTGTTAATTGAAGAAATAACAAACAAGGTTATAAATAACCTTTGGTATATTTAAAATATTTTAAATATTTACAACAGATAAGCACAACTGCTCTGTGAAATAACTATGCTACCCATAAGCAAATTAATCTGTAAGAGGATGAACTCGGTGTGCTGCGTGGGAATGGACCTGCAGCAGGGCTGCGCTTACAGCCCTCTCCCACCCCACAGGCTGCTTGGTGCTAACCCCAGGCCACTCCATGTGCCGCCAACTGCCGCCCTGCACAAACCACAACACATCTCCACCAACAGGCAGGTGGGATTAGAGCTTTCATTTCAGGCTTCATGACTTGCTACACCACCCACTCCAAATCAGGGAGGCCTGCAAGGAAGACAGCCCGGGGACATGTGACTTTCTTCAGACTCCCTGAAGAGAGGCTGAACAGAGTCTTCATATGAAAACAGACTCTACTCTCAGGGCTTGGATTTAGAGTAGTACAGCCTTGGGGGATCAATTTATGAAATTCCTGTCAGCGGAGGCCACTGCGACATACAGGGAGTTGAACTTGGATGTGAGGTCTCCAGACCAACATTTCCTGGACCAGGACTCAGTAACTGAGCAGCAGAGCCAGGGTCCACCTGTGGGGATGGAAGCGCCGTTTGGGGGCACAGCTCAGAAGTCGTGGCTCCACATTGTGGCTGAGGCATCAGGGTCACGGCTCTGGTGATCAGAGAGTTGCACCTGTGGAGACCAGGCCCCAGTGGGTAGTTGCAGAGGGGGCAGGTATGGCCCTGGGGAAGAGGCACAGTGGCTCATGTCCTCTTAACGCTCTCTCTGTAGAAGTCTAAATGTACAAATCTACCCTGGAGACTGAAGTAGAGGGGAGCGGAGAAACTGCCCGAACTCAGCTATGTGGCTCCTGGGTGGGATAGAGAGAGACTTAACCACGAGGCAGTCTTGAGAGCCCTGCCTGGGATGAACAGCCAGCTACAGCGGCTCCCAGACCCTCCCAGGTCAGCGACCATCTTCCGACACCCAGGAGAGGAGTGCTCAACAATCCCACCTGTGATCACGGGGACAGGTATTCACAGCTCCTGCTTATTCGCCTGCCTTCCTTTCTTCCTTCTCTGCGGGTCCTACTCCAACACTGGCTAAGAGCAGAGGAGAGGTCACAAACCACCCCTACCTAGTCCTCCGACTGAGGAATCTTCTCTGCCACGCTCCGGGGCAGGGTCCATCCTCTTCTGACTCTCGTGCTTTCTTCGTTCTTTGCTTTACTCCTGCACTTTGTTGGCTGAGATTCTTGACTAACTTTCCAAGAAAGTGGGGTATGGGTTCAATTGCTGTTGCCCAACTGAAGTTGTCTTTGCTCTGTCCCCCCACTGCCTGACAACAGAACTCAGTACAGAAACCCTTGTCTTTCAGGAAGTGTTTGGGTCTCTCTCCATTCAGTGTCGGACATTTGATAAATCCTTTCAATCTTGAAGTCTGCTTTTTTCAACTCTGGGAAATTTTGCTTTGTTTCTTGGGTAGTTTCCTCAACCTGATTTCCTGTTTTCTCTTTCTGGAAGGCTAATAAGGCTAATTCAATTAATAAATTGAATACAAATAGGATCTCCTGCATTTACTGTCACATTACCTGCCTTTTCTCTCAACTTCTCTATTTCTCTTAACTTTTTGTTCTACTTTCCGGGAAATTCATTGCCTTTATTTTCCAACCCCTCTGCTAAATTCTTATTTTGGCAATCAGATCTTTCTTGTTTCCAAAGTTTTTCTTCTTCATGGAATTCTACAGAAGTTTCTTATTACCTTCTCTCAAACTGAGGAGTAATCTGTTTCAGTGAAGTGCATGATCATCAGTGGACAGTGTGATGATTCTGACAAGTGTTTTTGCCAATGTAATCAACACCTTAATCATGATATGGATGTCCCCATCCCTCCAGGCTTCCTATGGTCTCTGTTCATGGACCCCCCAGCTCCGAGCTCAGAGTGTGCCTCATCCAGGCAGCACCCGGTTATGACGTCTGTCCACACTGCGGCCTGTGCTGAGTGTCTGTCCCCCTGGAGGTGCGTGTCTGCAATACTGACTGTTTGGGGCTCTTCCAACGACCATTCTTGAGAAGAGCCTCACGCAGGCCCCTGCAGACACATGCTCTCGCAGGCATGACTTGTGTGGCTGCCAGAGGGATGGTTAAAGCTGTGTGATGTGTAGACCTGATGGGCCTCACCTTTTTCACTTGTGACCGAGACAAGAACAAAGGGGCCAATGCTCAGAAAGGTCAGCATGATGATGAGTTTGACACAGGCATTCCCCGCATTGTCAAAGCAGAAGCTGGTCAGGTAGATGAAGGGGATGATGGCCCAGGCATAGAGCATCAGCATCAAGAAGACAGCTGGGACATTCTCCTTGTGTGTAAAAGCGTCCTCACTGAAGTATAGAAACACCACCTGGGGAAAGTGGGGCAGAGTTTGGAGAAGTCACTTAGAGTCAGCCCTAAGCGCGAGAGAAAGGATACAATAATCTCAAGTTATTCTTAATAAGGTAAACAAGGTGTTGGCAGGACTCCAGCAGCACTGCCCTTCCCTCACTCCTCTGGCCATGCAGAGGACACCAGTGCAGTGAGATGAGGAGCAGAGGCAGAACCAGGGAGGACGTGCTCCAGGCTGCACCCCTCTGTGCCCTGGAGGGCTACTTCTGGAGTGTAAACACCCATCCCCAGGGTACTGTCTTACCAGCCTGAGGCAGCAGCTCTGGGGAAGTCACCACCTAGAGACTCCAGAGCAGGGCCCCCTGCTCCTAAGACGCTGGGACGGGAATCACCTTTTACTGAGGGTCAGCGAGGAAGCTGCATTCACAGCCATGTGGCCCATCAGGGGCAGAGCTGCCAGCCTAGACGTCTGGTTGGGTCCCGGTTCTTTGCAAGGGCCCCAAGGCCAGTCCCCTGGACACAGGGGGTTGGGAGGAGGGGCCCCTCACAACTCAGCTCACCAGCAGCAGCAGGCTGGGGACAAGGAAGGACAGGAGGTCCCACAGCAGAGAGGAGAGCCAGAATGTAGCCACGTGGACACCGCTGATGAACTGGACCTGCTTGGCCTTGAGGCCTCTCTCCTTGACTGTCAAGATGGAAAAAGAACTCGAAAGGAAAGCCATTCCAAAAAGCAAGTTGATGACAAGATAATGTCCTTTAGGGCCCCTGTCAAAAGCAGGATATAAGGAGAGAGGCAGTCATTTAAGTAGAACTGGTCAAAGCAACCATATTTCAAAATAACAATTTGTAATTAAAACAAAGAGACAAAAAGGGAGGAAGCTGGCAGTAACGGGAGACGCTCAGCAAGGAGGAAGGAAAGGTGCACATACTCATACAAGATGTCCTCTGCGGCCTCCATGCTTGACTGAGGCTGAGGGTGATTCAGGACCGTTAGGGACGCCTGGGGACCAGAAAGCAACTTGAACAGGACGTTATCCACCAACGCCAGCACCTGGGCCATGGAATGGTATGCCTGGTTGTTGAACAGCGCTGTCACGATGGTGTGGTTCCCCATGTCGTCAAAAGAAATGGCCACCAGGTAGTTCTGGTCAAAGACCTCGGGCTCCTCCTCTAACTTTTTCAGGAGGAATGCTTCCACTGGGCCTGGAAGAGAACAGACCACTGAGTGGGTCGCACCAGGGCCTTGAGAGGCAGGGAGGACCTCCTGAACGTTTCTCCCCTTACCAAGCCCCACACACATCCCCAGTGGGGTCCTCTTGTCGTGGCCGTGCCCTGACTTCCAGTCATCCACTTGGGCCCGCAGGGCTGCCTCCTGCCTGAGCCCCTCAGACCTGGGACCTCAAGAAAGTTTTCCTTTCATTGACGAGCGGCAGTGAACAGTCTTGCCCAGGCATCTTTCAGGCTTCCCTGCTGTGCAGTCCCCATGCACACCACAGGCTCTGAGCTCAGGAGCGCCCTCTGACCCTCTGAGGCTAAGCTATGTCTGTGTGACCATCATGGACTATTCCTCTGCACTGCTGCTTATCCACAAGACCTCTGGGTGAGGAGCTGAGAGCTGTTCATCACCACACTTCTAGCACACAGGCTGACTGACCAAGAACCCTGGAATGATCCCTGTACTGGTGGCTGAGGGTTACCGAGTGCTGCAGTGTGAAGCACCTCTGATGGGCACTCCCCTGGAGACCCTCCGGTGGCAGCGTGAGGAAACCAAGCTTGGGAGAGGTAAAGCGCTACAATCCCAACCATTTCTGCAGCTATCTCTTATACTTTACTAAAAATAAATCCTGAAAATCTTCATTTTAAATTAAAATAACATATCAATATAATTTAAAAAATCAAATAATTAAACAAAACTTACAATGAGAGATGGCAGTGCCATGGCCTTCCGCATTACTATCCCTGCCTCCTGCTCACCAGAGCAACCACGTTGAAGTCTTTCAGTCCGTGTTTCTCAGGATCGCTAAATAGTCCATTTCTCTACTGACAGCCTATCTCGGAAGCAAGGACTTAGCTCTCTTAGAGGACTATCCCCACCTCCTAGGGCCTTCCATACCCCTCCCCACCTGCCCCAGAGTTGTATCATAAATTCAGTTTAACCAATAGTCAGTTTTCACATTCACTATGAAAAAGTAGAAATTATTCACAGCTGAACCAAGTAGCACACCATGACATGTTTCTTTCTTCTGTACACCTGTGCCCCTCTGAAGGAAATACTATTCTCCTTTTCTCATCTGCTTAGTTTTTGTCCCATCTATCACCAAATCACCTACAAACTCCCTTAGCAGAAGTGTAAATCTCTTCTCAACACGTTCAAACATAACAGAACATTTGTTTCATTTTTGGACATGCTTTAGTCCCTAGAAAGACACAACTTGGTCCCATTTCTAGGAACTTTCCCTTTCCTGTTACTTTTTAAAGATTTCTTTCTGAGGCTTCTAGCCACACATTCTGACTTCAGAGAGCATCATGTAGTGTGGAAGCACATGGCTTCACTGCAGGGAGCAATGGGCCTGCTTCCTGCCCCGTTTTCCTGGGTCTTGTACTTACTTTGCAGCTCCAGAGGAATCTGGTCCTCAGCCACGAGCACATCTGTCAAACGTTCTACAAACTGTGGACCCAGCCTGGAGTTCGGAGAAATGTAGAATGGAACAATAGTTTGACCATATAATTTTAGGGTCAGCTCCAATGGGCTGTTGTCCATGCTTATATCAAAGTTGAGGAATGAGAGGCTGATACTAAGAATGACTAGAGGCACCAGGATCTGTATTGACAGCATCATCATCCAGTTGCGCCAAGAATAGGTAGCCCTTTTCAAGAACATGGCATAGAACTGTTGGCAGAGAAGGCTGAACTACAATTTAAAAAAAGAAGGACATACTATTAACATGGTCACATGTTAGGTAGGAGCTGGCAGGCAGTGAAGTGGCTCATGTTCAACTTTATTCTCTCATATTATGTCTAACATTTTGATTGTGTCAAAATTGCTTCAAATTAAAATTCTTTGACTTAATTATTAGATTAACATTTAATGGCAGAAAAAGAAGGCACAGATTGGAAAGAGTTTGAAAGAGAAGTCTAAACAGACATCAAACGTAAACATGATACATTGTTTTTTACTTGTCAGATTGGCAAAAATTTTATGTTGATGAGGATATAGGGGGAAGGAAATGCCATTGCTTGCTGGCATTTTAATTTGATATTACTTTTTTAGAAAACAAATGAGCTGAATGAATAAATTTGACAGCCACACAGTCTTTTTTTTTCATTTATTTTTATTAGTTGGAGGATAATTACAATATTGTAGTGGTTTCTGCCATACATTGACATGGATCAGCCATGGATTTACATGTGTTCCCCATTCCGATCCCCCCTCCCGCCTCCCTCCCCATCCCATCCCTCTGGGTCTTCCCAGTGCACCAGCCCTGAGCACTTGTCTCATGCATCCAACCTGGGCTGGTGATCTGTTTCACCCTTGATAGTCACTTATTTTTCTGGAATTGAGCTGCAGGAGTTGCTTGTATATTTTTGAGATTAATTCTTTGTGAGTTGCTTCGTTTGCTATTATTTTCTCCCAATCTGAGGGCTGTCTTTTCACCTTGCTTATAGTTTCCTTTGTTGTGCAAAAGCTTTTAAGTTTAATTAGGTCCCATTTGTTTATTTTTGCTTTTATTTCCAATATTCTGGGAGATGGGTCATAGAGGATCCTGCTGTGATTTATGTTGGAGAGTGTTTTGCCTATGTTCTCCTCTAGGAGTTTGATAGTTTCTGGTCTTACATTTAGATCTTTAATCCATTTTGAGTTTATTTTTGTGTATGGTGTTAGAAAGTGTTCTAGTTTCATTCTTTTACAAGTGGTTGACCAGTTTTCCCAGCACCACTTGTTAAAGAGGTTGTCTTTTTTCCATTGTATATCCTTGCCTCCTTTGTCGAAGATAAGGTGTCCATAGGTGCGTGGATTCATCTCTGGGCTTTCTATTCTGTCCCATTGATCTATATTTCTGTCTTTGTGCCAGTACCATACTGTCTTGGTGACTGTGGCTTTATAGTAGAGCCTGAAGTCAGGCAGGTTGATTCCTCCAGTTCCATTCTTCTTTCTCAAGATTGCTTTGGCTATTTGAGGTTTTTTGTATTTCCACACAAATTGTGAAATTATTTGTTCTAGTTCTGTGAAAAATACCATTGGTAGCTTGATAGGGATTGCATTGAATCTATAGATTGTTTTGGGTAGTATAGTCATTTTCACAATATTGATTTTTCCAACCCATGAACACGGTATACTTCTCCATCTCTTTGTATCCTCTTTGACTTCTTGACAGCCACACAGTCTTTAAGCTAGAGAATCCATTTCTAGTAATGCGTACCACAGATGCACCTGTGCAAGGATGCAGGCCACGCATAGCGAGGTCCCTGGGCTTCAACAGTGAAAATCAAAGCATGCAGTCATGAGCACTGAGATCCCAAGATCCAGCCTTGGGCCCAGAGGCGGCGGCTGCGGAAGTCAGCGCCACAGGCTCCCATCAGCTTCTCTTTCACTGGTGCTGCGCTAGCTGGGTGGGCTGGGGCCTTCAAGCCTCAGGTTTCCCAAATACCAAAACACCCCAGAAAACCTCTTCCAAGCACCCACCATGTCTCCCACATTTGGATTTGAGGCTCCTTCCTCTCAAGCATTCACCAAAAGGCATCACTATCACCCTGCCGGAGGTGGTGCTCTGAGAAATACTTCCTGGAAAGGTTCTGGAGTTGTCTCTAAAAGCAAAGCTTGGCCAAATAGAGGCTGGATCGATCCTTCCTGGGGTTGGAGAAGAGCCTCCTGTGTAGGACAGGCACTGGGTCTAGACAACCTCCAAGACTGGGGGCTCTGTGGATGGCAGCTTCCCCTTGAAGAGGTGATTTAAGACTATGAAACAGTGAGTCCTCTTCACTCACCCATGAAAGGGCTCCCTGGTGGCTCAGTGGAAAAGAACCTGCCTGCTAATGCAGGAGACACAGGTTTGATCTCTGGGTCAGGAAGATCCCCTGGAGGAGGAAATGGCAACCCACTTCAGTATTCTTGCCTGGGAAATTGGGCTCCAGTCCAAGAGGTCACAAAAGAGTTGGACACGACTAAGTGATTGAGCATGCATGCATGCAATCCATGAAAACCAACCTCATTATTTTGTAGTATACCTTATAGATAGCTAAATCAAGACGACTATATAAAATGTATATCAACGTTCTTTTTTAAGCATTAAAATCTGCATGAAATACAGGTTGTCCATATATTTCATAAGAATTTTTTTTTAAATTAAGGATTTCCCTGGTGGTCCGGTGATTAAAACTTCACCTTCCAATGCAAGGAGTGTGGGTTCAAACCCTGGTGAGGGAGCTAAGATCCCACATGCCTCGTGTCCAAAAAGCCAAAATAGAAAACAGAAGCAAATTCAGTAAAGAATTTAAAAAATGGTCCACATCAAAAAAAAATCTTAAGAATTTTTAACTTCAGGTGGTACCATGCATGATTTGTTTCATAGTGAAAGACTAAAAAGAAAGGTTAAATATGCCTTTTGGACAGTAGATTTAATGCTTCTTTAAAAAGCTACCTCTCCTGATTTCTTTTTTTTTTTTAATGAATATCTATTCATTTTTGGCTGTGCTGGGTCTTTGCTGCTGTGTGGGCCTTTCTCCAGATGAGGAGAGCTGGGGCCCTTCTTCAGCTGTGGTACATGGGTTTCCCACTGCAGTGGCCTCCCCTGTTGCCAAGCATGGGCTCTAGGGCACTTGAGCTTCAGTAGTTGTGGCCTCTGAGCTCTAGAGCGCAGGCTCAGTAGTCGGGGCACCCAGACTTAGTCTCTCCACAGTGTGTGGGGATCTTCCCAGGTCAGGGACTGAACCTGTTCTCCTGTGGGGCAAATGGGCTCTTCACCACGGGGCCACCAGGGAAGCTCGACTTAGTGCTTTTACTCTTTCTTTTTCCTGGTGAAAGAAATGGCCATGCCCTTTCTATGAGCTTTTCTGATACTTCCTTTGCTGGTCAGAAAACACCAGCATTCTGACTTTCAACTGGAGCAAAGAGCATGGTATTCCTGAAATCCAGCAGAGCCAATCTTTTATGTCTAAAATCTGCACAGTTTTTCTTAAGCCCTACTAAAGGTTGACATTCATGTCTTGACAGAATAATATCATGATTCCAGGAATGGAACAGAAACCTGCTTCTTCCATTTGATGTATCTGCTCACCCCAGTGTTAGGATGGATGGGTAGGCCGGATGGTATTGAGAAAATCCTTGAATGAAGACGTCTAATCCTGTTGACAGGAACTCTGCTCACCAGTGGATGAGAATGGAAGGAAGGAAGCTTGATGATCTGCAAGTCTATGTTGGAATCCATCAGTTTATTAACCCTAAACCAAACCAAAAACACAGAAATGAGAATTCTCAAAATCACAACACATTCCATTTTTGGGGATTTAAAGAATGAAAGTCATGTAAGATATGAAAAAAATAAGTTAGGACACAAACAATGAGGAGAAAAAAAGGCACACCATGATTACATACTGTTGGCAAGTGTATACTGGCTAGAAAGGGCTTAAAAAGGAACTAACAACTGAATTAACTGACCAATGGCTTCTCCAAATAACTGAGGCAACACCAGCTTGAATAGATTTCATTATTTTCCTTAAAAGATCCCACACACAAATTAAAACAAAAATATAATATCACTTAATATGTACTTTATGAGCAAAACTATAAATTATAAAACGCAGCACCTCTGACACTCCAGGTCTGGGGTTTGTAAACTATGGCCAGAGATCCAAATCCAGCCCAAGGTTTGTTTTGGTATGGCACAAGCTCAGAAAGGATTTCACACTTGTAAACTGTTAAGTGTCTACATGGTTAATTAAGTGTCTGCATAATACCCTTGTTACGTGACCAGTCCTACACAGCCTAAAGTATTTACCAAAGCTGTAATACTTTGGCCACCTGATGCAAAGAGCTGACTCATCTGAAAAGACCCTGATGCTGGGAAAGACTGAAGGCAAAAGGAGAAGTGGGCAGCAGAGGATGAAATGGCCTGGATGGCATCACCAACTCAATGGACATGAATTTGAGCAAACTCTGGGAGATAGTGAAGGACAGGGAAGCCCGGCGTGCTGCAGTTCATGGGGTTGCAAAGAGTCACACACGACTCAGTAACTGAATAACAACAACGCAATACCCTCGATTATGCGACCAAGCCTACACAGACTGAAGTATATATTATCTGACCCTTTAGAAAAGTTTGCTGAACCCCTGCTCAGGGTAAAATTCAGCAAAGTATGAGGTCAAAAAACATACTTTTACTCATAGTCTTTCAGCCAGCTATTCCATTGCTGGGAATTTGTCACAAGAAAATAATTCAATAAACTGGTTCATTTTCCCTCCAGTACAGTTCTGCAAAGGACAGTAAATTAACTGTTATTTATTGCCGTGACACAGATTATCCCAAAACTTAGCATCTTAAAACAACAGTAAGCATTTACAATCTCACACAGTTCCAGTGGGTCGGGAATTTGGGGGTGGCTCAGCTGAGTGGTTCTGCCTCAAGGTCTCTCCTGCAGATGCAGTCCAGCTCTTGGCCAGGCTACAGTTGTCTGAAGGCTGGACTGGGGCCAGAGGGTCTGGCCCACTCACAGGAGAGTGCCCGTATGTGGCAGTGAGGAGGTGGACAGTGGTGTGTGGTTCTCTAAGTGTAGTCTGGACAAGAACACTAGTTGACGTTTTATTAGCATTAATGATTAAGACAAAACTGAAATAGCAAACATGTCATGTCAAAACTTTACTCATCCACCCACGAGGTGACATTTTTATTGGACTAAATAACACATTCTAAAAAACTCGAAGAGTATTTCCTCAAATTCTATTGTTAATGAAATTGCTTCAGATAGGACATACTTTGAAGCTTAATTCACACTATCAACATTTTCTCAGTCATTACTTTCTAAATATAGACAGTCAACAAAGAAATAAACTCCAATTCATAGTTTACCGATTTTCATGTTGTAAACACTCTCACCAGTATTGATTTCAAATTGTCAACATAATGCTTCCATCACACAGTGTAAGTAGACGTAAAAATAACCTCAATAACACTGATAATAGTAAGATATAACCAAATCATGAGGAAATAGTTATTATTATTTCCCTCTGTGATTACTGTTATTTATAAGAAATATAGGTTTGTTCTTTGTCCTGGTTCCAGAACAGAGCTCCTAAAAGTCTTGCAAATTTCTAAGTGAAGAGAGCCATAAGAGTGTCCTTTGTCATGGTGACTTTGGAAAGCACCACAAGATGGAGTCTGGTTGCCAGGGGAACCTAAACCATGTGATTGGCAGGTAAGAACTTTTGATCACCTTCACCCAATTACCACACTCTTGCCTCCAACCTCTGAAGAAAGTGAAAGTGAAAGTTGCTCAGTTGTATTCATTTTTTGCGACCCCATAGACTATACAGTCCATGGAATTCTCCAGGCCAGAATACTGGAGTGGGTAGCCTTTCCCTTCTCCAGGCAATCTTCCCAACCCAGGGATGGAACCCAGGTCTCCCACATTGTAGGTGAATTCTATACCAGTGGAGCCACAAGGGAAGCCCAAGAATACTGGAGTGGGTAGTCTATCCCTTCTCCAGCAGATCTTCCCAACCCAGGAATCAAACTGGGGTCTCCTGAATTGCAGGCAGATTCTTTACCAACTAAACTATCAAGGAAGCCTCCCTCCAACCTCTGGCAACCAACCACAAATCTGTTGTTTCTGTGAATTTTTTTTTTTTATATTCCACATATAAGTGAGATCACACAGTGCTTGTATTTCTGTGTCTGACATTTCATTGAGCATAATCCCCTCAAGGCCCATCCATGTTGTTGCAAATGGCATGATTCCTCTTTTAAAAAAAATTTTTATGGACAAACTGTGTGTGTGTGTGTGTGTGTGTGTATCAATCACATCTTCTTTATCCATTCACCTGCTGATGGACACTTAGGTTGTTTGCACAACTTCAGTGTTATTTCATAATGCTGAAACAAACATGGTGGGACAGATATCTCTTTGAGGCAGTGAGTCCACTTCCTTTAGATATATACCCGTAAAGTGGAACCAGATCATATGATAGTTCTATTTTTAATTTTTTTGAGGAAATTTCAATATTGCTTTTTATAGTGGTGTGGTATATCAATTTACATTCTCACCAACAGAATACAAGGGTTCTCTTTTCTCCATATTCTTGCCAACACTTGTCATCTCCTGTCTATCATTTCAATGGGTGTGAAGTGATAGCTCACTGTGGTTCAATGTGATTTGCATTTCCCTAAAAATTGATGCTTTTGAACTGTGGTGTTGGAGAAGACTCTTGAGAGTCCCTTGGATGCAAGGAGATCCAACCAATCCATGTTAAAGGAGACCAGTCCTGGGTGTTCACTGGAAGGACTGATGCTGAAGCTGAAACTCCCATACTTTGGCCACCTCATGTGAAGAGTTGACTCATTGGAAAAGACCCTGATGCTGGGAGGGATTGGGGGCAGGAGGAGAAGGGGACGACAGAGGATGAGATGCCTGAATGGCATCACTGACTCGATGGACATGAGTTTGAGTAAACTCCGGGAGTTGGTGATGGACAGGGAGGCCTGACGTGCTGCGATTTATGGGCTCGCAAAGAGTAGGATACAACTGAGTGACTGAACTGAACTGAACTGAATGATTAGTGATGCTGAGCACATTTTCATGTATCTTTTGGCCATCTGAATATTTTCTTTGGAAAAAAGTCTATTCAGGCCCTCTGCCTATTTAAAATTTGATTTTTTTTGCTATTGAATTATATGAATTCTTTAAATATTTTAGATACTAACCCCTTATCATATATGTGTCTGCAAATACTTTCTCCCATTCAGCAGGTTGCCTTTGCATTTTGTTGATCATTTCTTTTGCTGTGCAGAAGCTTTATTTTTATATAGTTCTACTTGTTTATTTTTCCTTTTGTTACTTGTGCTAATATTCTCCCCTTTACTGTGAGCTGGACCTAGTGACTAACTTTAGTAAACAGAATATAGCAAAAGTGATAAAATGACACTTCCAAGATTAGGTGACAAAGTGAACATCGTTTCCACCTGGTCATCTCTCTCTGATCACTAGCTGTGGGGGATACTAGCTGCGATATCACAAGGTCACGCCAGCACCCTGGCAGGAGGCATCATGAGCAACTGAGGTTGGCCAACAACAACAGGAGTGAACATGAAAGTGGATCTTCCCCAGGTGAGCCTTTAGAGACTGCAGCCCTGGCTGGAGACTTGACTACATGCTCATGCTCAGACGCTCAGTTGTGTCCTACTCTTTGTGACCTCATGGACTGTAGCCCACCAGGCTCCTCTGTCCATAGGATTTTCCAGGTAAGTATATTGGAGTATGTTGCCATTTCCAACCACCTCAAAGGAGATCTGAGCCAGAACCTGCTACCTACTTGCTCCTGGGCTCCTGACCCACAGAAACTGTGAGGTAACAAATGTTTGTTGTTTCAAGGCTGCTAAGTTTCAGAGTAATTTGCTAGCAGCAATAGATAATCAATACAAGCCAAAAAAGGAGTATAACAGACAGGAGACACCTGAAAGGAAAAAATCATATGTAAGTAGCTGTCTCAGTAAGAGTGGAAAGAGAGGATGGATCAGAAGAGAGACTGGGTGAGAATTTCCCAAAACTGACCAACACCAGCAAACCACAATGTGAAAAGTGGTAAAAATGCTAAGCAAAGGAACACAAAGAAAACCACACAAATGCACATCACTGTAAAAATGCTGAAAACCTAAGACAAAGGAAAATAATACTGCAAGCAGCCAGAGGTAAAGGACAGACTGCATAGGAGAATAACAATAATACTAGCAGCTGACATCCCGGTGGACATAATGGAAGTCAGAAGACAATAGAATGGAAGGAATAAGCAAAAATGATCTATTCATATAATGGAGAACTATTCAGCAATAAAAAACTAAAGTATTTATTATACATGCTACAACATGAATGAACCTCCAAAAATTATTCTACATGAAAGAAGCAGACATAAAATACACACTGTATGATTTTTCTACATATGAATCCAAATGATTCCATTCTTATGAAATGTCCAAAATAGGTAAATATATAAAGACAGAAAGTAGGCTAGTGGTTTCCTTGGACTAGAAATGGGAACAAGGAATATTTGGAATATTTGCAAATGAACATGAAAGATCTTTCCAGAGTGATGAAAATGTTCTAATATTGGCTTACGGTGTCGGCTTATGGTCCCACCATAAATTTACTAAAAGCTATCAAACTATATGGTATGAATTACTGGTTAATGCTACAGTATGTAAATTATATCCCAACAAATCTGTTTTAAGAAGAAGAAATTAGAATTACATTGTAGAAGTATTAAAAACAACCCCTGACAATGTAAAATTCTGTATCAAGGGAAAATTCTTTAAAAAATGGAGGCCAAAAATATATTTTCAGGCAAACAAAAACTCTGAGACTTCATCAGATCAGAAAATTTGCACTAAAGGTTTGGGCAGAAAGAAAATAGCCCGAGATGGAAGCTTAAGGGTGAATGATGCTTAAGAGTGTAAGAACAATGCAAAGGGTAAACATGTGCTAAATTTAAATGAATGCTGATTGCACAAAAAAACAATAATGTGCTACGGACTTTTAAATATACACAGAATTGAAATAGTTGAATAAATACCACATAACAAAAGTGGAATAAATGGAATTTAACAGTGCTACACATTGCATTGTCTGGAATGCAGTAAATGTGCTAGTTTATTGTACACTTTAATAAGCTAAAAATGCACATTGAAATCTTAGGATAACCAATAAGAGAAGAGCAAGATAATGTACAAATGCTAAACTAACGGAGGAGAAAATAGAAAGCAAAAAAAAAAAAAACCCACTAAATCAATTCCAAAGACTAGAAAGGAAATAAGAGAATATGGAATTGGTGGGATAAATAGAAGACACTGAGTAATAAGACAGATTTAAAACGAAATGAATTAGAAGTTTATTACTCACTAGAAAAGACCCTGATGATGGGAAAGATTGAAGGCAAAAGAAGGGGGCAGCGGAGAATGAGATGGTCAGATAGCATCACTGACTCAATGGACATGAATCTGAGCAAGAGATAGTGGAGGACAGAGGAGGCTGGCGTGCTGCAATACATGGGGTCGGAAAGAGTTGGACATGAATTAGCAACTGAACAACAACAACAAAGAACTACTTAAAAGATAAAGATACACAAATTAATGTTTTTTAAACTCCAACTATATGCCATTATAAGAAACACATTTAAAATATGTGGCTATATTATGAATGAATGCAAAAGAATGGATAAGGAGAATATCCTTCAAAAATGAGAAACAAAATCATCTCCAGACCAAAATAACTGAGAGCATTTGGTACCAGCATAAAAACAGTAAAGGACATGGGACAGAATGTACTTCAGGCAGCAGGAAAGTCTGAGAAGCACAAGGAAAAAAAAAAAACACAGAAAGAGCTGAATATATATATGAATGTAAATGACCATTGTCTTTGATAAAACAGTAATGTTTTGTGTAATGTTAAAAAAGAGAATTAAAATATATAATGATAGTATAATGTATAAGCTGGTAATGGTAGGATGTGTGTGAATAAAACTAAAGTGTTTCAAAGTCTTGGTATTTTCCAGGAGCAGAGTAAAAGATATTACTTCAGCTGAGACTTTGATAAATTACTTATGTGCATCTCAATATCTAGGCTTACCATTAAAATAATAAAACAAGAAAATATAGTTTCCAACCACTGTGGGGTAGGGAGGAAACTACAGAATAAGCAAAAAATAATCCATAAAAGGGAGAGAATGTCAAACAGACTCAACAGGACTTGTAGAAAATATAAGATAAAATGATAGATATAAATTTTAATATATCATAAGTAATACTCATAAATAGCCTGCATATTCTATTTCAAAGACAAACATTACCAGACTGGGTAAAATAATACTGACCTGGTCTCCTTGCCACTTTATGGCCCAGTGTGGCTGCCTGGGTAGTTTACCAGGGAGGCCCCCTCAAAGCCTTCCTAGCATTGAGCCAGCATTCCTGCTTCATTACATTCAAATAGCTTGGTGGATGAATCAGCCAATGCCAGAGCTGCCCTACCTTGGGAGATCTTTTTTTTTCTTCTTTTAATTGGAGGCTAATTACTTTACAATACTGTGGTGGTTTCTGCCATACATTCACATGAATCAGCCATGGGTGTACATGTGTTCCCCATCCTGAACCCCCTTCCCACCTCCCTCCCCATCTCATCCCTCAGGGTCATCTCAGTGCACCAGCCCTGAGCACCCTGTCTCATGCATCGAACCTGGACTGGTGACCTACTTCACATATGATAATAAACATGTTTCAATGCTATTTTAAATGAAATAATAAACCTTCCTAATTGTCTAAACCAGTCGAGTTTGGGTTATTTGTTACTTAGTGTCAAAAGCAGCCCAACTGATAGGATGCCACTTTTTGCTTTTCATTCCTAGGAATTTATGTTAAAATTATGTTTGTTGGATGATATTACATTCAATATTTTCTACACTAATGAATATCCCTATTATTGGAAGCACTAGTCAGAGGCTGGAAGACTATTCAGTGAGGATGTTACAGAAAGGATTCAAACACAGGGCAACGTTTAAGTACCATTCCAACCCTAAGATTCCTGGAATCTATGGTTTCTGTATTCACTTACCGAATGAAGATTTCTTCCATAGTGGTGACAGAGGCCCCAAAGCTGGCAATGCCCAGCTCTTCCTGCCTCAGTTCCAAGTCAGTAAACAGAGCTTCAAACCTGGAAGGGAACAGCAGGTTTATTCATCAAATAATTCTTATTATTTGAATCCCTCCTTATTACCCTTGGCTTTCTACAAAAGAAAAAGCATGGGTTATGGAGTTAAGAAGATATTTGTTCAAATCTCAATTCTGTCCCTCTTGAGCTTCATAACTCTGAACTTGAATGATGAGCATAAATAATACCATTTACTTCAACACTTTCTGTAAGGATAAATCAAAATACATCTAGCACACTGCAGGTGCAAAGTAAATATTAATTCATCTCTGAAATTGTTTGAAGCATCTTTTTTGACTAAAACACTGTAAGACTAGAAATCAACTACATGAAAAAAAAAACTACAAAATCACAAACACGTGGAGGCTAAACAACATGCTACTAAACAACTGATGAGTCACTGAAGAAATCAAAGAAGAAATTTAAAAACACCTAGAGACAAATGAAAATGAAACCACAATAATACAAAATCTACATGATGTGGCAAAAGAAGTTCTAAGACGGAAGTTTATAGTGATACAAGCCAACCTCAGGAAACAAGAAAATTTTAAAATAAATGACTAAACTTAACCTAAAGGAACAAGAAGAAGAAACAAAACCCAAAGTTAGTAGAAGAAAATAAATCATAAATATTAGAGCAGAAATGAACAAAGATCAAAAGCAAAAGAAAAAAGCATTGAAACTAAGAGGAGTTTCTTTGAAAAGATAAATAAACTGATGAACCTTTAGCTAGATTAAGAAAAATAGAAAGTGGGCCCAAATCAATAAAATCAAAATGAAAAAGGGGAAGCCACAGCAGACACCACAGAAACACAAAGGAATATAAGAAATGTATATGAACAATCATAGACCAATAACATGGACAATAAAGAAGAAATGGGCAAATTCACAGAAACGCGAGACTGAGCCAGGAAGAAATAGAAAATATGAACAGATCAACTATCAGTAATGAAACTGAATCAGAAATAATTTTAAAAAACTCCCAACAAACAAAAGTCCAGGACCAGTTGGCTTCACAGGTGAATTCTACCAAACATTTAGAGAAGAAAAATCCTTCTCAAGCTATCCCAAAAAACTGCAGAGGACATAATGTTTCCAAACTCATTCTATAAGGCCCTGATACCAAAACCAGACAAAGATATCACACACAAAAAGAAAATTACATGCCAATATCACTGATGAGCATAGAAGCGAAAATTCTGAATAAAATATTAGCAAACTGAATTCAACAACATATTAAAAGGTTCACATACTGTGATCAAGTGGGATTTATTTCAGGGATGCAAGGGTTGGTTCAGTATCTACAAATAAATCAATGTGATACACCATATTAAAAAACTAAAGAATAAAACTCATATGATTGTCTCCACAGATGAAGGAAAAGTTTCTGGGCAAAATTCAATATCCATTTATGATAAAAACTCTCCACAGAGTGGGAATAGAAGGAACATTCCTCAACATAATAAAAGCCACATATAAGCCCACAGCTAACATCACACTTGATGTGAAAAACTGAAAGTGTTTCCTCTAAGATCAGGAACAAGAGAAAGATGCTCACTCTCACCACTTTCATTCAACATAGTTTTGGAAGTCCTGGCCACAGCAATTAGATATGAAAAGAAATAGAAGAAATCCAAATTGGAAAGGAAGACGTAAAGCTGTCTCCATTTTCAGGTGACATGATACTATACGTAGAAAATTCTGAAGATGCCATAAAAAAACTACTAGAACTCATCAATGAATTTGTAAAATTTGAAGAATACAAAGTTAATATACAGAACTCTATTGTTCTATATTGTTCTGTTATATATACAGAACTCTATACACTTACAAAAAATTATCAGAAAGGAGATTGAAGGAAACAATTTCATTTACCATCACATAAAGAACATTATAGCCGGGGACAAACATACCTGAGGAGATAAAAGACGAGTACTTGGAAAACCATAAGGCACTGATGAAAGAAATTGAAGACAACACAAAGAGGTAGAAAGATACACTTGTTCTTAGATTGGAAGAATTATTATTGTTAAAATGACCATACAATCCAAGGTAATCTACACATTCAATGCAATCTCTATCAAGATACCAATGACATTTTTGACAGAACTAGAACAAATAATTCTAAAATTTTCATGGAAACACAAGAGGGCCTGAATAGCCAAAGCCATCTTGAGGAAAAAAAGACCAGAGCTGGAAGTATCACATAAAGCGACAGTAATCAGAAGAGTATGGTACTGGCACAAAAACAGACAAGTGGGTCAATGCAACAGAACAGAGAACCCAGAAACAAGCCCATGCAGCTACGGCCAAGCAGCTTACAACAGAGGAGACAAGGACACACGGTGCGGAAGCACCGTCTCTTTGTTAAGCTGTGCTGAGAAATAAACTGGACAGCTACGTGTAAAAGAATGAAATTAGAACATTTTCTCACACCATATACAAAAATAAACTCAAAATGGACTAAGACCTAAATGTAAGACCAGAAATCATAAAACTCCGAGAAGAAAACAAAGGCAGAACACAGTTTCACATAAACCGTAACAATATTTTTTTGGATCTATATCCTAAAGCAAAGGAAACAAAAGCAAAAACAAATGGGACTTAATACTATTGACAAAAAAAAAAGATTAGCTACTGAAATGGGAAAAAATATTTGCAAATAGTATATAGACTGATAAGGGGTTAATATCCAAAAACATATAAATGGCTCACTGAACTCAATATCAAAAAGACAAACAACCTAATTTTAAAACGGGCAGAAGACCTGAATAGGCATTTTTCCAGCTTGCATGGAAGGGTGTGAAAGTCACTGTGAAGTAGACTGAGTAATGCATGGGCAATGAGATAAAGCAAGCAACATGATTAACCTATTTTTAGAGAGCTTCAACTGCGCAGGGTTACAGGACATGGAGTGGTGGCTGGAAAGAGAGGCAGGCTCAAGACAGTGTATCTCCAGAGCACACAAATATGTCTGTGGACATGAGCCAAAGACAGAGAAGTTGATGATGTAGATGAAAGAGGAAATAATCAAACCAGCAAACTCCCAAGTGGCTGAGTACTTGAGCTGGTGTTGAAAAAAGCAAGTCTGTAGGTCTGTTAAAAGGGATAAATAGAGTACTTGTCAGATGGTGTTTACTTTCTCAATGAAGTATAACTAAGATTCCTATCCAAAAGAAACATGAGGACTGAGGAGAGGGAGAGTGGGACATGTTGGGAACAAGTCTGAGGTCTGAAATAACTACAAGATTGACCTCGGCTCCCACCCCACATCGAAAATCCACTTATAACTTTATAGTTAGCCCTCCAAATCCAAGTGTTCTGCATACACAGATTTAACCAAATGAGGGGTAGTGTAGTACCATAATAACCTATTTATTGAAAAATCCAGGTATAAGTGGACTCACACAGTTCAAACCTATGTTGTTCAAGGGTCAACTGTAATATAAAGGAAAATCAAGTAGTTTTCATCTGAGCTCAGTTACTTGGGTACCTGTAATTAGAGCTCACGCAGTCAAGGGCCCCTTTGACACCATCATAAAGAATTTGATTTCAATCTGAAAGCAGCTGGGAGCCATCAGGGGTTTTCAAGGAGGGAGGGAGCATGATCGAAAGGCTTCGCTGGTGGCTCAGATGGCAAAGAACCCTCCGGCCAATGCAGGAGATGCAGGTTTGATCCCTGGGTCAGGAAGATCCCCTGCAGAAGGAAATGGCAACCCACTCCAGTATTCCTCCCTGGGAAATCCCATGGACAGAGGAACCTGGCGGGCTACAATACATGGGGCTGCAAAAGAGTCAGACATGACTTAGTGACTAAACAGCAACAACAGAGTCCTGTATTTTCAAATGCACTCTGGCTGGAGTGCGGTGTCTTTCTAGGAAATATCAAAGGCCTAGAGATCCAGACCATTACAGAATTGAGAGCCCTTGGTGAGGACAGGGATGGGAGAGATGACTGAACACTGAGCATACGCAAACAATTACTCCAGCCCTCTCAGGTCCATACCTGTGCATGCTCTCTTTAGGAAGTATAAATGTTAGTTCTTCTCCAATGCTAGACTGGAAAACTGCATATGGTATGTGCTGGTAAATCAGAAGAGAAATCTTCTCTGTGTCACAATGTGGTTTTCTTACCAGAGTTATATAATATCCCGCACCTGAAACATTTAAAACATCATAAAACGGTTTTTCTCTTTTTAGTTACACTTAAATGTTCTATAGCCTAGAACAGGACAGCTCCATAGGCTAGACAAGCTGGAGACCTGTGGTGGATTTGCCTTGGAAGGTCTATAATACTATTCTTTAGTCTCTCCTTTGACTCCATAGTTGGGAGGTGACAACAGCATTTAGCAACACTAGGCAAAATAAAGGAGGGATGCATTAAAGGCAACACTGCTTAAGGGATAACTAATGTGGGGAGGTGAAAATTGAGCAGGGAGAGACCCTGAACATTAAAGCTAAGAACAAAAATATCTCTTTCATAATTGAATTATGTTTTGAGAACACATACCCTATGGTATTCTAAACATTCTTTCAGAAGCTACTAGTAACACTTGTTACTACATTGCTGGCACTGTAGTCATTCAACAAACATTCACTGAGCTCTTATGACATGACAGGCACTTTTCTAGATACTGAGCATATAGCAGGAGATCAAACAGCCAAAAATCCCTACTCTCACTCAAGGAGCTTTCATTACAGGAACGTGAGACATGTGATAAGGTAAATAAGTAAATCAAGACCATGCTAGTGACAAGTGCTAAGGCAAAAGATGAACAGGAAGGGGATACAGAATATTGGGGATCGTGACTTTAAAGGTGGGGAAGGCCTCACTGAGAATGTGACATCTCTGAAAGGACTGAAGACCTGAGGAAGAGGAGGAGGCGTGGCGATACGTGGTCTGGGATGAAGGAGGCGGCCCATGTCCTGGATCAGAAAGGGGGCCCTGAGGCGGGAGCAGAAGAATATCAGGAGAAATGGCTGGGGTAGCAGGACCAGGCTAAGCAAGGCATCTGGGCAACTCCCAGGACCCTGTCTTTTCCTTGCAGAAAGTGGGATGGGAAGTTATCAGTGGACTGAGCAGCAGAGTGGCACGCTCATTCTGACAAGTGGGCCAGAGGCCAGGCGTGGGCTAGAAGCAAATTCCCTGATCCAGGCAGGGAGACAGTAGGCTGGGCCAGGGTGTCAGGAAGGCAAGGCCACTGGGGTTGGCAGATGGATCAGATATGGGCTATGACACACAGAGGGTCAGGCGCCCTGAGGTTCTGGCCCAGCGGCTAAAAGGATGGAGCTGCCTTTACTGTGGGTGAGCTGGTATGTTGGTCAAGAGCTGGAGTTCAGCTGTGCATCAGCCACGGACAGTCCAACAGGCAGGTTCACTCTCTGGGGTGTGGAGAGTCAGCAGTAGAGGCACCAAGCTGGAGCTCCGCTGAGAGGTCCTGCGCAGACACGCTTCAGCACAGACACATGTCAGTCAGGACCCTGAGTGAGACCGCTGAGTCAGTGAGCAGGGGAAAAACAGTGAAGCAGCCTGGGCGCTTCCAAGCCTAGCAGCAGAAGTGATGCAGAGGAGCAGTCAGAGACGCTAGAGGGAAACCCAGAGGGCTGGGGTCCAGGAATGCAGGGGGATGTCTGTGGTGGGATGTCCAGCAGGAGTGCACCACGCTGTGGAGAGGACAACTCACCCTATGCAGGCATTAGGTCCCTCTTTGAGGAACATGGTCTCTTAATCGTCATTTTAATAAAGGAAAACAATAGAATGGGAAAGACTAGAGATCTCTTCAAGAAAATTAGAGATATCAACAGAATATTTCATCCAAATAGGGGCACAATAAAGGACAGAAACAGTATGGACCTAACAGAAGGAGAAGATATTAAGAAGAGGTGTCAAGAATACACAGGAGAACTATACAAAAAAGATCATCACGACCCAGATAAACACAATGGTATGATCACTCACCCAGAGCCAGATACCCTGGAATGTGAAGTCAAGTGGGCCTTAGGAAGTATCACAAGGAATAAAGCTAGTGGAGGTGATGGAATTCCAGCTGAGCTATTTCAATTCTTAAAAGATGATGCTACACACCAAGGAAACCAGATCTGAAAGAGACACGTGCACCCCAATGTTCATCGCAGCACTGTTTATAATAGCCAGGACATGGAAGCAACCCAGATGCCCATCAGCNTGGCCACAGGACTGGAAAAGGTCAGTTTTCATTCCAATCCCAAAGAAAGGCAATGCCAAAGAATGCTCAAACTACTGCACAATTGCACTCATCTCACACGCTAGCAAAGTAATGCTCAAAATTATCCAAGTGAGGCTTCAGCAGTACGTGAACCATGAACTTCCAGACGTTCAAGCTAGATTTAGAAAAGGCAGAGGAAGCAGAGATCAAATTGCCAACATCCACTGGATCATTGATAAAGCAAGAGAATTCCAGAAAAGCATCTACTTCTGCTTTATTGATTACACCAAAGTCTTTGACTGTGTAGCTCACAATAAACTGTGGAAAATTCTTCAAGAGATGGGAATACAGATCACCTGACCTGCCCCCTGAGAAATCTATATGCAAGTCAAGAAGCAACAGTTAGAACTGGACATGGAAGAAGAGACTGGTTCCAAATTGGGAAATGAGTACGTCAAGCCTGTATATTGTCACTCTGTTTACTTAACTTATATGCAGAGTACATTGTGCAAAATGCCAGGCTGGGTGAAGCACAAGCTGGAATCACAATTGCCAGAAGAAATACCAATAACCTCAGATATGTAGATGATACCACCCTTATGGCAGATAGTGAAGAAGAACTAAAGAGCCTCTTGATGAAAGTGAAAGAGGAGAGTGAAAAAGCTGGCTTAAAACTCAACATTCAAAAAACTAAGATCATGGCAACTGGTCCCATCACTTCATGGCAAATAGATGGAGAAACAATGCAAACAGTGACAGACTTTATTTTCTCGGGCTCCAAAATCACTGCAGATGGTGACCACAGCCATGAAATTAAAAAACACTTGCTCCTTGGAAGAAAAGCTATCACCAACTTACACAGAATATTAAAAAACAGAGACATTACTTTGCCAACAAAGGTCCATCTAGTCAAAACTATTGTTTTCCAGTAGTCATGTATGGATGTGAGAGTTGGACTATAAAGAAATCTGAGAGCTGAAGAATTGCTGCTTTTGAACTGTGGTGTTGGAGAAGACTCTTGAGAGTCCCTTGGACTGCAAGGTGATCCAACAAGTTCATCCTAAAGGAAATCAGTCCTGAATATTCATTGGAAGGACTGATGCTGAAGCTGAAATTCCAATACTTTGGCCACCTGATGTGGAGAGCTGACTCATTTGAAAAGACCCTGATGCTGGGAAAGATTGAAGGCAGGAGAAGGGGATGACAGAGGATGAGATGGTTGGATGGCATCACTGACTAGATGGATATGAGTTTGAGTAAGCTCTGGGAGATGGTGATGGACAGAGAAGCCTGGCATGCTGCAGTTCATGGGGTCGCAAAGAGCCGGACACAACTGAGCGACTGAACTGAACTGAAACTAAGGCTACAAAACGATGAACTATCTTGGTAACAAGGGTGAAGAGGGAGTAAACTACCAGCATGGAGCTCAGGTACAGGCTTTCTGATTCCAAGTCTCAGAGATTCTTTCCACTCTCTTCCTCCTCATTCTCACAGCCCCTCTGCCTGGGCCTCAGGTCTCCACCCACAGGGAGCAGACAGGCCGTCTAGAGAAGGCTGCTCCCCACCTGACCTCAGGGGCCCTCAGGGAACGTGACCAGCGGACACTTTCTCCCACACCTGGACCAGCCACGCGGACCCCGTGCGGAATGGACTTTTGGTTGCCTGTCTGCCCTGCTCACCATATTTCTCCTTGAGGAACAGCGACGATCCACAGCACTGCAGCTCCCCCTTGGCCATGATTGCAATGCGGTCCCCCAGCAGGTCGGCCTCGTCCATGAAGTGGGTGGTCAGCAGGATGGTGCGGTTGCTCTTGTGCTGCTGCAGAAGGTCCCAGATGGCCCTCCTGGAGATGGCGTCCACGCCCGAGGTGGGCTCGTCCAGTATCAGCACCTGGAGGGCGGAGGGGCGGCATCGTAAGGATGGCAGAGCCCCGCCAGGGCTGCAGGCCGTGCTGCAGGCCCCCCGGGCCTACCTTGGAGCCCGCGATGAGGGCAATGCCGATGGAGAGCTTGCGCCGCATCCCGCCACTCAGAAACTTGCTCTGGGAGTCCCGCTTCTCCTCCAGCCCGAGCACGTGCAGCATGCGTTTGACCTCCTCAGGGCACTTCTGACGTGGCAAGCCTTTCAGCTGAAACGGCAGGGAGGGAGATCCAGCCAGGGCTTCCAACGGGGCCGGGGACCGCCCAACAAGCATTTTGCTTGTAGAGCAGTACCCCCTTATCTCCCTTATCTGAGATTTTTCTTTCCACAGTTTTAGTTACCCACTACCCACAGTGAACCATGGCCTGAAAACATTAAATAAAAAATTAACAGAAATAAACTCAAAAGTTTTAAATCGTGCACACCATTCTGAACACTGAAATCGTGTGCCATGCTGCTCTGTCCTGCCCAGGATCCCCACCCATGGACATCGTCTACTTTTGACATCCAACCACCATCAACACTTCCATGATCTGATGATCCAGGATCACCTGGAGCCTGGATCCTCCTTTTGATGAATCAGCCTAAAGCTGTGTCACAATGCCTGAAATCCTTCACCTCACTTCATCTCATCACATGGGCATCTTACCATGTCAAATCACAAGAACAGCGCGTGCATGCTAAGTCGCTTCAGTCGTGTCCGACTTTGCAACTCCACGGGCTGTAGCCCCCCAGGCTCCTCTGTCCACGGGATTCTCCAGGCAAGAATACTGGAGTGGGTTGCCATGTCCTCCTCCAGGGGATCTTCCTGACCTAGGGATCAAACCCAAACTCTTATATCTCCTGCACTGGCAGGTGGGTTCTTTACCACTAGCACCACCTTTTAGTACAATAAAAAATTTGAGAGAGAGAGAGATCACATTCACATAACTTTTATTACAGCCCATCAGGCTCCTCTATCCATGGAATTCTCCAGGCAAGAATACTGCAGTTGGTGGCCATCTGCTTCTCCAGGGACTCTTCTTGACATAGGGATTGAACCTGGGTTTCCTGCATTGCAGGCGGATTCTCTACCATCCGAGCCACCAGGGAAGCTCCTTTATTACAGTATATTGTTATAATTGTTCTATTTTATTGATTGTTGTTAATGTCTTGCTGTGCTTAATTTATAAATTAAACTTTGTCATAGGTTGCAAGTACAGGAAAAAAACAGAGGACATATAGACTTTGGTACTATCTGAGATTTCAGGCATCCACTGGTGGTGTTGGAGCAAATCCCCCACAAATAAGGGGGGGCTATCATATATACATAAACCATACATGAGAAAAATACACAGTAAACTTACTACCTTTAGGGAAAGGGATACAAGGTTTTTGCATCTTTTTATTCCACAAGCTGTGAGGTATGTGGGATCTTAGTTCCCTGACCAGGGATTGACCCTGGGCCATTGGTAGTGAAAGGGCAGAGTCTTAACCACTTGACTGCCAGAGAAGACCTTGCTTTTGCATCTTGAACCATCTAAATAAATGACTTATTAATACTAAATACTACAGCATATTAAAAGTGTTATACACTATGACCAAGTGGGATTTATCCCAGGAATGCAAGAAAGGTTCAATATATTAAGAATCATTTTAAGTATTAAATAATAAAGAATCTGGCTGGTGTCTGTCCCCAGTTACTGGGAGGAGCCTCTAAATCCTGGGAGTGATGGTATGTCTTTGTTATTCCTCGTAGTACCCTCAGGTCACACCTGCTACTGAAGTGATAAAGATCCAGGCTGGTCATACCAGAAAAATCAACCATATGATTTGAGAGCTGGGGCTTTGAGCCAGGTTATCAGTCTGATCTCCCGACTGCTAGGAGGGAGAGAGTGCAGATTAAGTTTAGTCACGAGGTTCATGATTTGATCATGAACCTATGTAATGAAATTCCAATAAAAACTAGACACTTAGGTGAAACTTAGGTGAGTTACTCTCTCTACAGTGATGTGCCAAGAGGGTGACACACCCTTAAGACATGGAAGCTTTTCATTTGGGACCCTCCCAGACATCACCCTGCATGTCTATTCTCTTGGCTGGTCCTAATTTACATATCCTTTATAATATACACATATAATATACAATATAGTCCTGAATTCTGTGAGTCATTCTAGTGAATTAGTGAAACTGAGGAGTCAGTGGGAACTCCTAAATTTGTAGTCAGGTTCTTGGAAGTGTTTTGCTTGGGAACCCCAAGCTCTGGCTATTTTCTGAAGTGGCAGCAGTCTTGTGGGGAGCAGTCTGTGCCTGTAGCATGTGAAGTGTGCACTGACTCCATCGTTAGTGTTGAACTGCATTGCAGTGATACAGCATATTAGAAGAATAAAAAGTTGAAGGGGCAAGCTGATCCTAGAATTTAAATGGAAATGCAAGGGATCTGGAACAGGCAAAACAATCTTGAAAACAAACAAAAAAGAGTTGGAGGACTCACATTCTTTGATTTCAAAACTTACTACAGGGACTTCTCTGGTGGTCTAGGGGCAAAAACTCCCATGTGCCTAATGCAGGGGGCCCAGGTTTGATCAGGGAACTAGATCCCAAATGCCTCAACTAAGACCTGGCACAGCCAAATAAATAAATAAATATTTTTTAAAAACTTACTACAGAGCTATAGTAATTAAGAAATTGTGGTATTGGCATAAGGATAGATGCATAGACCAATGAAACAGAGTTGAGAGTCCAGGAATAATCCCATATATCTATGGTCAATTGATTTCTGACAAAGGTGCCAAGACCATTCAATGGGGAAAGAATGGTCTTTTCAACAAATGGTGCTGGACAACCGAATATCCACATGCAAAAGAATGAATTTGACCTCTATCTCACACCATCTAAAAATTAGCTCAAAATGTATCAAAGACCTAAATGTAAGAACTAATGTAACAAACTCTCAGAAGGAAACAGGTGTAAATCCCAGGCAATGCTTTTTAAAATATGACATCAAGAGCATAACAACTAAAGAAAATACAGATACACTGAATTTCATCAGAATTCAAAACTTTTGTGCATCAAAGGACATTATCAACAAAGGGAAAAGAAAATGCACAGAAATGGGAGAAAGTTTTTTGCAAATCATATAGTTGATAAGGATCTACCATCTAGAACACACAAAAAATTCTCAAAGCTAAACTACAAAGAGATAAGCAACCCAACTGAAAAATGGGCAAAGGACTTTAATAGACATTTCTCCAAGTAAATAAATAAATGGCCAATAAGCAAATGAAAAGATGCTTAATATCATTATAGTCATTGGAGAAATGTAAATCAAACCCACCATGAGATACCAATTTATGGCACCTAGAATGGAAGCATCTCAGAAAGTTTTTTAAAAAGTTAAACACAGAGGTAGATCTTATGACCCATGAATTTCAATACTAGGTATATACTCCAAAGAACTCAAACTAGGTGTTTAAACAAAAACTTGAACACTAGTATACATGGTATTATTCACATGGCCAAAAGGTACAACCCAGGGGTCCATCAGCTGATGAATGGATAACCAAGATATGGCATACAATTCCATACAATGGAACATTATTCCGTCATTGAAAGGAGTAAAGTATTGATACATGCCGAAATATGGATAATTCTTGAACACTTTAAGTGAAAGAAACCAGACACAGACAGTCACATTTTGTGTGATTCCATTCATATGAACTACTCAGAATAGTCAAATCTACAGTGACAGAAAGCAGATTAGTGGTTTCCAGGGGCTGGGGGGAAGGAAGAATGGGGAGTGATCACTGATGGATCCAGGTTTCTTTTCAGGGAGATGAAAATATTCTGTAGTTAGAGAGTGATGATGAGCACTGTGAATGTAGTTTTTAAAACTACTGAATTTTATATTGCAAAATAAGCAAAATGATGAATTTTATGATATGTGAATTTCATCAATGAAGTAAATAGACTAAAACAATATTTTCTAGAAACTTTTTAATTCGAAGATTTTAAATGCCACACCCCTTCCTCTTTCTGAATGTTTAGGGAATAGTGTCCATAAGAGGTTTCAAGTCCCTCTGAGGTTGAGTCAGAAAGTTGCAAGTTATCTTACCATCCTTAAAAGTGGATACAGAGGAAACCAAGTCTATCACCCACTGACTCACCTGAGCATAGAAATGAAGATGTTCTGCTACAGTCAAGTTATCATACAAGATATCATGCTGGGGGCACCAGCCCATGCTCTTCCGGATTTGAAGCATGTCTTGAGAAATTTCATATCCATTGATAAATGCCTTTCCACTTGAAGGAGTAATAAGTCCTAGAGGCAAGTGGAAGACATAATATCCTGAAGTCACTGTCATTCAGAGCCACAACAATACAAAGGCTTAATGATGACCTCTGCTTTGTCTGCTGCTCTTACACACACTATCCTATGTTTCATGTCACAGTCAGCAGCATCCAAGGAGTATATGTTCCATGACAGTGTACAAGGACATTTAGGGGTAGTAGAAACAGGTGTCCTTCCTGCTTTTGATGAGTTCCAATTTGGTTAACTGAGTAAAATACACATGGGTGTTTGTAATTACACTGCTGTAAGAATTAATAATATGGACACATATTTCTGTAAAGTTGCAGGATAAAAATATTAATATATAAAAATCTGTTGCATTTTTATACAGTAACAATGAAATATCAGAAAAAGGACTGAAGGAAACAATCCCATTTACCATCACATAAAAAAGAACACAATACCTAGGAATAAACCTACCTAAGGAGATAATAAAAAAATGTGAATCTGGAAAACTGTAAGACACTGATGAAAGCAACTGAAGACAATACCAACAGATGTAAAGACCTACCACGCTCGTGGATTGGAAGAGTTATTACTGTTACAATCACCGAACTACCAAGGCTACCTACAGGTCCAATGCCATCCGTATCAAATTATCAAAGGCATTTTTTTCTCACAGAACTGGGACAAAAAGATGGTTTTAATTTGTATGAAAACACAAAAGAACCTGGATCACCAAAACAATCTTGATAAAGAAGAATGGAATAGGAGGAATCATGCTCCCTGACTTCACACTATACTACAAAACTACAGTAATCAAAACAGTATGATACTGGCATGAAAACAGACACATACATCAATGGAATAGGATAGAAAGCCAGAAACAAATCCATGCACTTATGGTCAATTAATCTATGACAAAGGAGGCAAGAATATACAATGTAGAAAAGACAGTCTCTTCAATAAGTGGTGGTGAGGTAATTGGGATATTTACATGTAAAAGAATAAAATTGGAACATTTTCTCACACCATATACAAAAATAAACTTAAAATAAAACTAAATGTAAGACTGGCTACTCTCAAACTCCTAAAAGAAAACAGAAAATTCTTTGACATAAATTATAACAATACTTTTTTGGATCTGTCTTCTAAGGCAAGAAAAACATAAAAATAAACAAATGGGATCCAAAAGCTTTCGCACAGCAAAGAAAATCATAAACAAAACAAAAAGACAACCTACATAATGGAAGAAAATATTTGCAAATGATGTATCGACGAGGGATTAATATTTCCAAAATATACAAATAACTTACACTGATTAATATAAAAAACAATTCAATCAAGAAATGGGCAGAAAATCTAAATAAACATTTCTCCAAAGAAGACATATAGATGGCCAACAGGCATATGAGAAGACACTCAATATCGCTAATTATTAGAGAAATACAAAGCGAAACCACAACAAAGTATTACCTTACACAAGTCAAAATGGCCATCTTAACTTCAAAAAATTTACAAATAGCTTTCTGAAGAACCGGCAAGATGGCGTAAGTGGAACAGAAGAAGTGGACCTTCCGCAAGTTCACCTACCGCAGCGTAGACCTCGACCAGCTGCTGGACTTGTCCTATGAGCAACTGATGCAGCTATACAGTGCGCGCCAGCGACGGCGGCTGAACCGCGGCCTGCGGAGGAAGCAGCACTCGCTGCTGAAGCGGCTGCGCAAGGCCAAGATGCGCTGCCCATGGAGAAGCCCGAGGTCGTGAAGAGGCACCTGCGCGACATGATCATTCTGCCCGAGATGGTGGGCAGCATGGTGGGTGTCTACAACGGCAAGACCTTCAACCAGGTGGAAATCAAGCCTGAGATGATCGGCCACTACCTGGGCAAGTTCTCCATCACCTACAAGCCCGTGAAACACGGCCGGCCCGGTATCGGGGCTACCCATTCCTCCCGCTTCATCCCCCTCAAGTAACCTGCTGGCCAATAAAAGCAGAGATTTCTCTAAAAAAAAAAAAAAAAAAAATTTAGTTGGCAAAATCATCTGAAAATAGAAAGATTCTTATTATATTAAATAACACTGGGAATCCCTGATGGTCCAACGGTTAGGACTCCAGGCTTCCACTGCAGAGGGCATGGATTCATCATTCTTGGTCAGGGAACTAAGATTTCATAAGCCATACAGTGTGACCAATAATAATAATAATAATAATAATAAATTCCTAGCATATAAATGAATAAAAGACAATTTTAAGAAAAATGGAATATAACTATGTAAAAAAAGAACTGAGAGAAAAAGTACTCCAATCTCATGGGGTCGCACGAGTCAGACACAACTGAGTGACACGATGAGTATATAAATGAATAAAAGACAAAATTTTTTTTTAAATGGAATATAACTATGTAACAAAAAAATTGGGAGAAAAAGCACTCCAATCTCACTAATCATCAAAAGAATGTACATTAAAACACTAAGGTGTAGTTTCTCTGGTGGTCCACTAGTTAAGAATCTGCCTTGCAATACAGGGGACACAGGTTTGATCCCTAGTCCAAGAAGATCCCATGTGCCACAGGGTAACTAAGCCCATGCACCACAACTACTAAGCCTGCTCTCTGGACTCCTCGAGCCTCAACTACGGAGCCCACATGCCACAACCACTGAAGCCCTGTGCCTAGAGCCTGTGCTCTGCAACAGAAGAAATCACTGAAACCAGAAGCCTGCCCACCACAACAAACAGTAGCCCCTACTCTCCACAACTAGAGAAGGCTCAGCAACAAAGACCCAGCAGAGCCAAAAATAAATAAATAAAAGACCTTAAAAAAAAGAAAAAACACTAGAAATCAGGTAATATCTGTGAGGCCTTCATAGGCCAGACACCTCCCAGATTTAAGCACGGTGCTGGGCTCCAAAGCCAGTGGCCCCTCTGTACCGTTCTTCTATGTTTGCTTGGGAAGATCCAAGATATTTAAGGAATGAAAAAGAAATTAAATGTAACAGGCATACTGCAATTAGAGATCTTGTGTGAGATTCGGTTGTTGGTGGAGAGGGTTGTTTTAAAAAAATCTTTAAACAAACTTGACTCTAGAATATAGATACCAAAAGGGTATGGTTTCTATTTTTGTCATAACCTTTCTTTGGAAATGAGTCAGATGTCCAAAAATACTATCATCAAGTCACTCAGTGTCCTTAAATCTTCAATTAGAGAATGGAACCAGAAGAAAAGACAAGAAGGCACAATGTCATTCTACATCTTGTTCCATCAACAGATTAGCAAACATTGAAAAAGTTGTACTTTAGAAATGAAAGAAGTATAGCAAATGATGTAGAAATGATATAGCATAATGATGATTATCCTATTCATTCTTAGAACTCACAGCAATCCAACCACAAAACCGGCTATCACATAAATTCATGCTGTAGCTGAACAATGTCAAGACTATGGATAAATCAATGCAGCTCATTAATAGTACAATTATATGTAAAAATTAAAACAAGAGGACACAATCAGGAGAACTTTTTTGTTTTCTGAAAGATAACATTCTTAGCTATAAACATATCTGTGTCATATTATAAACTAGGGTTTCCCTGATGGCTCAGTGGGTAAAGAACCTGCCTGTCAATGCAGGAGCCATAAGAGACACGGGTTCAATTGCTGGTTTGGGAAGATTCCATGTAGAAAGAAATGGCAACCCACTCCAGTATTATTGCCTGGAGAATCCCATTGACAGAAGAGCCTGAATTACAAGACCAGCCAGAAGTCCAATGGTGAAAAAACATTGATACTTAAAAATTTTGCCCATTCATTCGAAAATTTTTCTCTTCAAGGGCAGATGTAAATTTTGGAATTAGACAAATGTCATATAGAGTAAAGTATGGTGAATAATGAAAGACTTCCAGGTGCACTAAAATAAGTTTTTGACAAATTCCAAAGTATTCCTTAAGATTTATTTTCTTGAATATCTTTTAAATTGTTCAGAAATCTATTTAAGAGAGCATTACAGAGTGAAGTCAAAAAGATAAACACCATATTAACACATATACGTGTAATCTGAAAAAAAAATAGTATAGACAATCTTATTTAAAAGGAGAAACAGAGACACAGACTTAAAGAACAAAACGGATACCAAGGGGGAAGAGGATGGTGGGATGAATTGAGAGATTGGAACTGACGTATATAAACTATCAATACTATATATAAAATAGGTAACTAATGAGAACCTACTGTATAGCACAGGAACTAAACTCAATGCTCTGTGTTGACCTAAATGGGAAGAAAATCCAAAAATGAGGGGCTGTATGTATATGTATAGCTGATTCACTTTGCTGTACAGTAGAAACACAACATTATAAAGCAACTATATTCCAATAAAAATAAAAATAAATAAAAGTGCAAAAAATACAAATGAAAAAAAAAAGATAGTACTTATCAACCCTTTTGTAAATTGAAAGAAACATCTTTTCCTAAGGCAAAACTGCATGCATTAACTTATCAGTGTTATAACTGTAAACTATTTTAAGTTATTTTTATTAAATCCAGATGTGGTTGTCATTCTACTCCTCCTCCACCAAAATGGGAAACCTACTCAACCAGTACTAAACATTGTATCATTCAAGGTCCTAGATAAAAATCTTTAAAGTGATCCTCTAAGAGTAAAGGACTTTCCTGGTGGCACAATGTGTAAGAATTTGCCTGCCAATGCAGGGGACACAGGTTTGATCCCTGGTCTTGGAAGATTTCACATGCTGTGGAACAGCTAAGCCTGTGCACCACAACCACTGAGCCTGCACTCCAGAGCCTGCAAGCCACAACCACTGAGCCCAAGAGCTGCAACTACTGAAGCCTGCACACCCTAGAACCTGTGTTCCACAGCAAGAGAAGCCACCACAATGAGAAGCCCACGTACTACAACTAAGAGTAGCCCACCCTCACCACAACTAGAAAAAGCCTCAAAGCAACAAAGACTTACCACAATCAAAAATAAATAAATAAACCTTAAAAAAAAAGAGTAGTTAAAAATCTATTTTAGAGGAATGTGATCACCCTTTATACTTACAAATACACAATTGACAA